TTCATCTAAAAAATATTCACACTTGGTTTAAAATTTTTAAATAAGACTACAAACCTTCTTACACCAAATTGAAACCCCAACCCCAACACAAAAGGAAACATCTTTCAATCATGTCTGCTTTTAGAAAGCTAAATAATAAAGTTATTTGAAAAAATATATAAAATTTAATAATGAAATAATTAACATATGTATAAATTTGTTTTTATCCAACTATTTCTATTTGTTAGACCCTCAGCTATGTAAAATGAGATTTTAGTTTCATTCCTGTAGTTCTTTTCTCAACTCTCTATAATTTGGATAATTGTATTATTATTTTAAGTTTTGTTGGTTGTAATTTAGAAATATCTACTCATACTTCCTGTTCGTGTCCAACAAATTTGAGTGGGGTTTGTGAAACCCCTCTTGGTGGAATAAGGCTATTAATGCCTCTACTTGCCGTCCACTTTTACTCCCTCCTCTCATCTTCCACCTTCTGTCAGCTTTTTAAACTTTTCTTACATTTAATTTTACTTTGTCAAGATTATAAAGTGCACTGTTAATTATGTGAGCTGGCAAAAATGTTTTTATATTTAAGTTAAGTTTTTGATACTACTTAACTGCAGAAACTCTCTAACTTCATTGAGCACCTCCTACATGCTGACCTGCTGGCCATAAAGAGATGCTACACTGTCTACTTTGTGTAAATGATTTAATTTTAAATGAGATATGATTTTTTAAAGATACAGTTAATTAAAATAGATCTCATAAAACAAAACAAAATGGTTTTGCAATGGTTTTTAAGATAGAATCTTATTCAGGAAAAGTCTTTAAAAACTAAAACTATTGTAGAATATTATTTAAAAACAGAAGGGGGAATGTTTATTTTCTAAAAGAGACTACTAAAATTGAAGGAAATAGGTGTATAGTAATCTTAGTGAAAAGATATATTGCATTTGAAAAATATTCTAGCAGTTAATGTCTTAATTGTAAAAGGCTACCCTTAAATATAAAGGGTAACATGGGAAGTGACCATGATTTAAGGATAATTTATAATATGCATTTCAGTTTAAATTGAAAACAAATATTCCATTTTTGAGTGAAACTCCTGACATTGCAGAAATCAGTCATAAATGCGTATTTCCTATAACTTTAACTTTAAAAATAAATGTAAATGCATTTCCCCATCTTGTACCTCTATATATTTCTGCCTCTTTGAAAAAGGTTTTGAGATAAGTGGTGAATCGGAATCCTCTTTCTCTGTGAAGAAAACCCATAGCAATCTCCTTCATGCTGTTCTCACTGCTCAGCTAATCATACCCAGGTTAATGTTTGACTCAAAATGTTATTCATGCATTTATACTTCACCTTACTTTAGAAAGTCTTTTAGATAGCTTAAGTAAAATGCTTACATGCAAATATAAGCTGGTAATGTATAGTAAAAATAATAAACCAAGATAAGGAAAAAACATTTCTAAAAACGTCACGATGAGGCAGACCACAATATACTCCCAAATTGAGCTGTAAATTTAATTCAGAGCTGCCTAGTAGTGGAACTAAAGAGGAGACACTAAAATATGTCAATTTAGCGGAAACAAAATGTATTCTAATAGTAATCACTAAAAGAAATTTTTCTTGAAACTGTGGCCCAAGATCAAATGAGAAGGGATGGTTAGTTTTTGTGAAATTTTCTCTCTGTTCCTTCACATACATATAAAAGACTCTTGCCATAAATATACCACAGTGAAGAAACTCATGGTTGGGTTCAAAAAATCAGAAAAAAATATGTTTTAGAAAAGGAGAGTTAAAAAAAACTCTGATGTTGTGGTTCAAAAAAGAAATTCTCCCACATCCATTTCAGAAATAGAAAGGAAAATGAGGGAATTATTTTTCTGTTCTCTCTAACAGATAGTATCTCACTATTCCTAATAACATCATTTTCAAATGAGTGAATTGGATTCAGTGAATTGCAGAGAAGTCACATGGAAGTTTGATTTGTCCAAGACACACAGAAATTCAGAGGCACACCAATGTCAGAATCAGCAAGATGTGAATCCAGTTATATACACTAATAAAAAAGAAAGATGCAAATTGACCATATACCTTTGAGATGCCGATCATCCAATCAGGAGTGAGTATGCAAATTAACCCAAGAAATATGACAGGTTAATTTGCATACACAGTCAGGCATTTTGTACCACCACAGCCACTCCAGGCCTCTGGGCAGCCTGGGAAGGCAGAAAGGCCGCTCCAGGATGGAGCAAAGGCTGTGCTGGCAGCCAGGGTAAGAAAGGCCATTCTGCACGAATCTTCATGCATTGGGCATCTAGTTTATTATATTCACTGGTAAGAAATGTTGAGATAAAAGTATTGAAAATGTAAAATTCAGAAAAAAATAATATTGTCATTGGTCAGATCATGTAATTCAACTTATAAAAAACCTTCTGTCTGATCCTGGCTGGGCGATTCAATTGGTTGGAATGTCACCCCATATACTGGAAGATTTTGGGTTCAATTCCCAATCAGGGCACATACTGGGGTACATATGAAAAGCAGCCAACTGATGTTCCTTTCACTTGCCCTCTCCCTCCACCTCCCCTTCCCCTTCTCCCTCTCTCTCTAAAAATCAATAAAAACATATCTTTGGGCGAGGATTTAAAAAAAACACACACAAAGAAAACACCTTATATCTGTGTATTTAAAAATGATTCTGGCCCAGCTGGCATGGCTCAGAGGTTGAGTATCAACCTATGAACTAGGAGGTCATGGTTTGATTCCCAGGCAGGGCACATGCCCAGGTTGTGGGCTCAATCCCCAGTGTGGGGTGTGTAGGAGGCAGCCAATCAGTGATTCTCTCTCATCACTGATGTTTCTATCTCTCTTTCCCTCTCCCTTCTTCTCTCTCTAAAAATCAATAAGAATATTTTAAAAAATTTAAAGACTATTGTTACAAATGCTAAAACTACCCCCAAAGTCAATTTGTTTAGTAAACATTTAAATATGTGTTAAAACCAATAGCTCTCTAAAAGAGGGGCTGCTCTCCTCTTCCTTGTTGAAAAGCTGATGAAGAAATTATCAATGATGATTCCAATGATGATTTCTTCAATGGCGTCACCCATATTACACAAACAATTGATAAAATATTCATTCCCTGAAATAAATGGGGGTGGACTTATTAATTCCTAATACTGGCTTTGACTTAAATATACTTAATAAGCAATGCATATTGGATTCATAATAATCAATTCTTCCATAGTTTTCACTCAGTTAATTAGTTGAAAATAACAACTGCTGGTTCAATTAAATTTAGCAAATTCCACATTCTAGTGTTACCATATGTACATTTGTTTGAAGTAATAATTATACTTCTGTACTAGATTGTATATTTTCGAAGTAAACAAATTATATTAAGACACATGGAAATGTCTTTAAAAATGCATATTTGCTTTTTTTTTCCTCTTTGAAAATTAAGCACCAATATTTTAAGTGAATCCCTGATAATTGGCTGCAAAATTATCTTATGATGTGGATATAAACCTGACCAAGCCACTAACAACTTCCATGTAAAATTATGCACATTGACAGCCATAGGCTATGTTAATTAAATGTCTACCCTAATACCTTCTCCATTAAAAAATAAAGAGGAAAACAGAGGAAGGAAGAGAGGAGGGGTGAGGGAGAGAGAGAGTAAAGAATTAAGAGGGAGGAGTCTCATTTACGTCTAGTTTGAGGGAAGACTTTCAGATTGAGAAAAATATGTAGTCAGAGGAAATATTGATAGACTGCTAGTGGGCAAGTATCTTGACACTTGCTTGTAGAAAGGCAGAGATAGAGAATAACATATTAAGACTGCTGAAACTTGGTACACCAACTCACATTCTTTATAATCATTATCTTGGTTGGATCTCACAGCATCTGGGTGAGGCTGACAGAGTCTGGAATACTGTCCTTTCATAACTAAAGTTAGTCCCTAAGAAATTTGCTCAAGGTCAAACTTAGTCTTAGGGCCCATGTTCTCTCTTGAAGCTAATTTAATAAGATGTGGCGAGTTTCAATTGCAAAAGCAGAATGGTAACACAAGCCATTTTTTTTGTTTGATTTCTCCTCCTCCTTCTTCTTCATTGTAAAGATCATCTTAAAATAAATTTGGTCACCAAAATAATTTATGCAGAAGGAACATGTGGCAAGTGTACAAAATGTTTAGATGCAAAGTTTATTGCCAAAAGAAATAAACTGAATGTGACAGCTATTTGAAATACAAATAAGTGTTATCTGTTTATCAACTATCCAAATTATGTTAACATTTTCAGCAATAACTGTCTATTTCGAAGTGTAGTCCACTTCCAGTAAAAACCTCAATACATTTTACAAATCTTGTATGACCAAATCCTATTAGTATCATATAAACTATAGTGTCTACTATTTGCAAGGTACTGTGATTGAATGCTAGGGTGGTTTACTAAGTACCGCTCCTCTCACCTATTTCATCCAATCTCTATTTAAGATATTAGTATAAGACTTTATTGCAGAAATAAAGTTCACAATACAGATGACTTGAATACAAAACTCCTGTATCTTCATTCTTGAATGAAGTAAGAAAAGAAAAGAAAAAACGTTGTCAGTGTGATGACTGGCCTGCTTTTTGAAGAAGGCTAGAAAGCTAGACACCTGTTTCAGACACATGGTGTCCTGGCACATTTATTCAGAGTACACATGCTCAGGACAGCAGATGTACCAGTCTGAGAGCTGCCTAATTAAACACTTCAATGCGATGTCCTAAAAGGAAAATCTTTAACTCGAATAGTTGACAGTGCTACTATGTGTTTGTGCAGCTTTCCTTCACGCATGAACTTTCGCAGAAAAAAAGGAGTTCAAGTGCAGGTAAGCATTTAATGACCTACAAAAGTAGTGCGTCCAGTGTTCCCATTTCGGTCCACAACTCCCTAGAACAACAGTAATGGAAACACCGAACTTCCCTCCATAGACTCTCTCTCTGGGACCCAGCGTGGCGGGGCCGGACTCACCTTGCTCTGGGAGCCGGGAGCCAGCCGGGTCCGCCGCCGCGGCTCCGGGAGGTTTTGCTTCCACTGGAGCAGGGCGGGGTGTGTTGCCGGAGTCGCTTTCTATTGGCTCCCCTCTCGGGCACTGGCCGGGCTTCCCGACACTTGATTGGACGGACCTGCCCCCATAGGCCGAGGCCATTGGAGGCTGCGGGAGCCAGGGGGCGGGGCGGGTCCCCCCGGAGTCCTGACAGAGCGCGCTGGGCGGCGGAGCCGGGCGCCGGGCGCCGGACCGGAGCTGGGCGGGCGGCCGGGCGGCCGGGCGGCCGCGGTGGTGAGGGCGGGAGGGTCCCGGCGCGGACAGGGGCTCGCAGGGGGAGTTACGGTGCCGAGATGGGTGCCTGGCCGCGTCTCCCGACAGCAGTCCCGTCTTTGTCCCGGCGGGGACCGCTCGGAGACGGCATCTGTCAGCGCTCGCCCCTCCTCTCGCCTCCTCCTCCGGCCGGGCCGGACTCGGCCGGCGGGGGACGCGGAGCCGGCGCGGCGCGCCCATCAGCTGTCAGGCGAGTGTGGCGGGGCGGCCGCGGGCGGCGGCGAGAGAGACACACAAAGAAGGCGGCGGCGAGCGGCGCTGCGGGAAAGGGGCGTCAGTTTCGGGACGGCTACTCCCGGCCGCGCCCGCTCGTGCCGCCGCCGCCGCCACCGCCGCCGGTCCGAGGCCGCGGAGACAATACGGCCGCGCTCCATCCCCGCGCCCGCGCCCCCCCTTCCCGGCGCCTCCCGGACGGGGCCGGGCTCGCCCAACCTCCCCTCCACCCCCTCCCGGCCCGCCGGCTCCCCGCCCGGGGCAGCGGCGCCCCCTCGCTCGCTCTCGCGGCCGGGGAAGGAAGTCGCGGTCCGCGGCCGCCCAGCCCGGCAACTTGCGAGCCGGGAAAAGTTTGTGGCGGCGTCTTCGCGGGGCGGCCCCGGCCCCCGGCGCACGCGGTGCCGGCCGGGGACTCCGTGGGCTCGGCGTCCGGCTGCGCGGACCGCGGGGACTGCGGCGGGGAGGCCGGAGCCCGTGCGGCCGGAGCCGGTGCGCGGGCTCTGCGCCCGGGCCTGCGGGTGAGTCGGCTTCGGCCGCGGTGGGTCTGGGCGGCGCGGGGCACCTGGGCTGGGGGAGGAAGGCGTGGACGGAGCGGTTCATACTTTTTTTTTTTTTTTTTTTTTTTTTTTTTAAGAGCAGGCAGGGAGGACACATTAAAAAGTGCGAGGGCTTCAGGGGCGCTGACACGCCACTGGCTGGTGAACCGTATCCGTGGGAACCCCCCGGGAGGGAGCCCGTGCGGGAGGGAGGGGAAGGAGAAGGTCGCGCACCGGCCCGGCCTGCCGAGGACTGGCTCCCCTGCTTGACCTTGGGCGAGTGACTTAACCCCTTAGCGATCCTCCCGGGTGACACCGGAGGCCCAGGAGGCCGGAGCTACACGAGCTGCACGTCTCTCCCCCCCCCCCCCCCCTTTTTTTAAATGCATCTCAGTGTGAGGTTTTCCCCTGGGCCTCCATCCCCGTGAAGCGATGGGCCCAGGATCTATCTACCTGCGCCCGGGCTCACCTTTCATTCCGCCGAGAAGTAACTTTTTTTTTAAGCCCTTTGTGTCCAAGCAGGAGTATTTCAAGGTTTTTGTTTGGGGTTTGATGTAAAAAAATAAGTTACTACTCATTCCTTGTTTTTATAAATATATGTTTCTCGAGACTGTCTGTTTTGCTGCACCCGCTTAAAAAGTTTTTAGGGGCTGAGGCTGGGAATATGAGAACCAGGCTTGAGGGTGAAGTGACAGGTGCCCTCAGTTTAGGGGAAGAACAGGGTTTTTATTCTACAGAGGAGAGTGTAAACAGGGGGCAGGTGTTTTTTACCCCCCCCCCCCCCCTGTTTTTTTCCCTGTATTCTTTCCCCTTGAAAACTCGTGGAGGGCAATGGGGGGTGGGGCTCTAACTTCTGACAAAGAAGGAAAAGAAAGTGTCACTTGTATCCAAAGAAACCTTAAACTAATGTAAATCTTCGTAAGGCAAGTACAGCTTGATCTAATTTTAATGAAGGACTTGAAAATAGCTGCTGTGTTCAGTATCACCGACGCCAAGATGGCTCACTTACATAATCTTAGTTGGGATGTGTTAGGGGCATGTATAATTTTAATAAGTTATTAACGTTAAAGCTTTGGTCTAGTAATGGTATTGAAATAATTGTCATCACAGGTTGTGCTGCAATACAGTGGAGTGTTAACTTTTGGTTATTCTGGTAAACCTGCCCTTTTTTCCATAAAAAGTGAAGTCAGACATTTTTTCCCCTAACCAAACTTTTCTCAGCTATTAAATACTTACTTGTCAGTACTCAATACAAAAGAAGTTATTTCGTCCTCTCAGTGATGAGTTAGTTCCTTCAGTTTTTTTGTCATTCTTGAGAGTGCCTTCTAGGTGCCAAGTGCTCCTGGGCATTTAATCTTCTCATGGAGCTTATAACAACAAAAGTTGATTTAAAAAAATATGTGTGTGCAAATATACCCAACAAATATTTGCTGAAAAAGAATACCTAGTGTTCAGATAATAGTAATTTTTAAAAATTGCCCAACCTTGAAGAGAATTACGTATTATCATGCTTTATGGGAAAGAAGGAGAATATTAAAGAAAAAACTGTCAGAAAAAGTGAGTTTTTTTCTAGTATCTATCCTGAAATTAAAATAGGGATTCAGACTTAGAAAGAGACAAAGACAATTGATAGGGATTTTGGGAGAAAGATACCAATATTGACTTAATGTAATATCGTTTATGACTTAGCTTTCTTTGAAGAACACAAACCTTTTAAAAGGTATCTTTCTTATAGAATAAGTAGCTGTTTTCATTGTGATTGAATGTCTAATTAAATGGCCTAATCATACCATAATATTTTATATCAGTGCTGTCTTTTAAACTTGGTTTTAAAATAGCATGAAATAAGCCTTTCAATGCAGTTGCATGAAGGAAAATGTATATATGAAATCAACTAAATCTCCAATGAGAATATTGTCTCAAATCTTATACCAAATATAAAATAAGCACTGGAAATAGCATCTTGCCAAGAAAATCTTCACTCTAGACCACATGTGTCAAACACAAGGCCCGCGGGCCAAATCCGTCCCGCCAGGCCTTGCAATGTGGCCCGCACCGCTCTGTCATCACTGCACTCCGCTGCGTTTTCATCACAATGACAGTTTATGACTGTTCAGTAAACCATTCGGCCCGCGATTTAGGCTGGATTTTAGATTTTGGCCCCTTCTCTGATTGAGTTCGACACCCCTACTCTAGACAAACGTTGTGTCTGGAGATATCCCATGTGGACTGCATCATGAATGAGATAATTTTATTTTTCCTGAAGGACCTGTCTATTTGGTGATATCAGGAAAAGAAGTCCCCCACAGTTGTAAGCTTGGAAACTTCTGGAAAGTCTAGTAGCCTTATTTAAAAGTGACCACTCTGCATTGATATTTGAACAAGCAAACTGTCTTTGTAGAATGTAATCCTCAAAGCAGGTTTGCTGGTTAGACAGTCTTGTAGAGGAATAGTGTTATCTGAGACCATCTGTATCAGAATCTTCTGTAGCACTTAGAAAACTTCAGACTCTTGGGCACCTTCCTATAAACATCAGAGTTTCTGTTAGCAGAACCTAGAATCTGTATTATTAACAAAACTCTCCCAAATCACCCTACATTTTGAAAAATAGTGTTAGAGTTGTCTTGCCAGTATTTAATAGCAACTGTTGCTTTTGTCTAGGAGCACTAGAAAAGCATCCTGAGGTGCTCACTGCTCAGATCGCTTCCCCTCCAGGACCAGACATGTTGGCTTCATCTGTTAGTTGGACCAGGGACCCCCTCATGAACTGCTTGGGCAAGCTAACCAAGATACCACCTACAAGCAGAGTTAAGGCTGCTCTGAGGTACAAGATCTAAGAGACCCCTCCTACTGTGGGATACTCTGACCACCACCCCTAGCCTGTGTGTGATCCCTGGGAGTGGCAATCCCAGCCACTTCCTCCTCTTCAACAAGGGAGATAAGGTTTCAAGCAAATATTAATAATTGGGAATTGATCCCAAGGGACAGAGGCCTGAGAGAGAGCAAGAATGCCAAATGGAAAGCTATTCAATATAGTTAAACATAGTGAGTACATTTAAAGATTTCTGTCTTAAATCTGATCATTTGAAAGAGAAATATCTGGCTGAAACCAGGCCCCTTGCCCTCTGTTGTCAAAACTTTTGACTAAAATCCTATATAATGGGTCCTATAACTTCTGTATCCATAAACTCTCTGACATATAAGTGAGGACTTTTCATGTTTATTGAAATGAAAGGGAAGAATTTAGGAGAGAGGTTCAAAGCATAAGCTGAGAGGTTGAACACACTTGATTTAAATCTCAGCTTTACTTTTTACTACCTACATGACCTTCAGCTGCATCCTCGATCCTAAGCTTTGAGTCTTACTTGAAAAATGAGGATAACAGTACCTGCCTCATAGGAGTTATTTTGGAAATTACATAAGATTATAAATTATGTAAGATACAAAATAGTGACAGATAATAACTGGCACTCAGTATATATTCCATTTATGTAGCTTTTGGTTTATTGTAGTAACGTTTAAAAATTTCTCTTTTAGCTCTGGAGAGTTGCTATCGAAGAAGGACAAAAGAGGAAGACAATGCCGGAGGAGGTAAGTAGCTCTGGACACAGGGAAGGTCAGAGCACTAAATAGTAATTGTTGAGCAGAGGGAAAGGAACAGGAGGATGCAGACTGCAGTGCCAGCTAGCTAATAACCGGGGCTGCCTCAGCTGCTGCCTCCTCTCCCCTCCTCCCTTTTTGTACCACCTTATTTAACACTTTATATACTTTGTTGACTCACTCTAAGAAATACTAGGTGTTCTGCCTCACAGTTTTAATCCTGGTTTTGTATTTTAGTATTGATGATCCTCAAACTTGCAGGGGCTTAGTGTGGAAGCTGTCTTTCCTTTTGGGATCTAGGTTTTAGAATTATTGAAGGGAGGAGATTTTTTTCTCTGACCCCATCCAGAATTCAACTCCAAATTTGCCTTTTCAGAGAAATATATGCCATCAAGACATGATCAGAGAGACCCCTACCTGACTTTTAAAAATACCTTTTCTTTCTAGAGTAAAAATATCTATATTTTTCAAAGTGCTTTTTCTCACATCAACTTACATTTTCCTTCCAATAACCCTGTAAAAATTATTAATATTAGTAGACAGACCCCAATGAGGCACCACAAATGTTTCTCTTTTTCCATCTCCATTCTGTCTTGCAAACATATTGCAATGGTAGTCTTTGCTGTCTTCACCTCAGTTTTCTAAAATCAAAATCCTTTCATTATTTCCTGTGTACCCCCCCAGTCAAATTGAACTTCATCTTCCTGGCTTATGTACTCTGCAGTTCCTGGAATATGGCTGGCTCACTCACTATAGTGCTTTAGCCCATATTGCTTCCCTCATTAAGGATGCCTCCTTTCAAACCAACCAGATTCTACCCATTCTTCAATTTCCACCTCCTCCCTGGAGCCTTCCCAGATCATTAACATCTTAAAGGTTCTCTCCTCTTCTGAATTCCAATGGTAGCCACAACTATTTGGTCAGTTATAACTTGGTCTTAAAGTCCTAAGGAAGAGCAAGTATATGGTAGATTTTATATAGAGAAGAAAGCAGTGGACAAAGTATGTTTTAAAGAGTTGACATCTACTAAGGAGCTTTGGGAGGTAAGCCAGGTTGCTCTACCCTTATGGTTCTACATTTCTTAAGCTGTAAATGTAGAGAGGTTTTGGATAGATCTGTGGTCGGCAAACTGTGGCTCTTCCACAAAATAGACCTGGGGCGAGTCTATTTTGAAGAAGTGGCGTTAGAAGAAGTTTAAGTATAAAAAACTTGTCTCTTAAAAGAAATTTCAATCGTTGTACTGTTGATATTTGGCTCTGTTGACTAATGAGTTTGCCTACCACTGGGTTAGATGATGTTGATGGTCCGTTATCATTCTGAGGTTCTAGGACAACTTGGTCTTCCTTATGTGGGATAGGATAGGGGCTCTTAATTGAGTTCTGGACTTGGTCTATCCCAAAGATTGTTCGTGCTAAACTTCGCAGTTTTTGAATGGCATGTACTTTTTTGGTAAGCTTTTTAAACCTAAGCTTTCAGGGAAGATTAGTGGAGGAGATGCATTAAGAGTAGGATGATGTATTAAGGATAGTAAAGGGTTGTCTTTGTGAATGACTTCTTATAATAGAACTAGAGGCCGGATGCATGAAATCGTGCAAGAGTAGGCCTTCACAGCTGCTGCGGCTGCCTTGATCCCTCCCTCAAGGCAGCTGCCTCAATCCCACAGCTGTAGCCCAGCTTCATCCGGAAGGTTGTTGGCTGTCCAGTCTAATGAGCAAATTACACTTTTATTATTATAGATAAATAGGGTCAACTATTGGATAAAGTTTAGTCTTGGTGTTTATAGTGTACTTTGCATTTCATCTTTATTAGATGATGCTATATAATAAATAGTCAAAACTGTAGAATAAATATTAGATGCCTTTCTATAGTAACCTGGTTGGTGACATATTATAAGTGTGTATATGTATGTACATGTATCACATGCATATTACCTGTGTATTAAGAAGGGAACCCCTAAATTATAAGGTGTTACTATACTCTGACCATTCATAAGAAGAATATCTCTTTAAAGTGTGTTGACATTTAATTGACCTTTGAAAGTTCATTCTGTTAATCATACTCACAGTGCTAACGCTATGGTTGACTGCTCTGGTGTTTTTACATTCAGCCGTGCCTAGCATATAAATTCTTCAGCATAATTGCTACTTATTTAGCCAGAGTTTCTTTTCTTCACTGAAAATGCGAGTTGTATTTTATTTTTGTATCTTTAAAAAAAAAAAAACAAACCCACCACAACAACTTTGCTGCAGGCTGGATAGTGCTAAGGGTTTGAATTGAAATGTTTTCCTGTCATTAGTTGTATGGGGTGTGGCTTCTTAATATAAGAGTAATGGAAATTTTTTGCTAAGCGTACTTTTCTTCTGGCAGCAGTTAGAACTTTTTACTATATAATGCTAAAATATGGAGAAGCTTAATAATTTGATTACACATTTTTAACATAAACTTTTGAAAATCTTTCAATTCTTTTTGTATAAATTAAACTATCATTCTATTAGTTTTTATTAAGCAGAGATTCAAAGGATCTGTTTTCATAGCAAACTCTGAATTCTTTTAATTGCTGTTAATGAAATTTTATTACAAATGATGTATTTGTTTTTAAAAAGTCAAGTATATTTATTTTTCATAGCTTAACATTTTATTACTATTGCCTAGAGACCGTTTGCTGAAATGTTTAAACATTTTTGAGTTTTAAATTTATAGCATGTCTATGGAAATAATTTTTAATATGGATAGTTTAGCTCTCTTACAGGTTTCTAAGTTAATATTTCCAACACTTTTTGCTGATAGAAAATAAAAACTTATAATTACCAATTTTGGGTAACTTATCTTGAGACTCGATTTTTTAAAAATATAAAAATATATATTTTATTGATTTTTTACAGAGAGGAAGGGAGACGGACATCAATGAGAGAGAAACATTGTCTAGCTGCCTCCTGTACAACCTCCATTGGGGATGTGCCCTCAACCAATGCACAGGCCCTTGACCGGAATCGAACCTGGGACCTTTCAGTCCAAAGACTGACGCTCTATCCACTGGCCCAAACTGGTTTCGGCTGAGACTCAATTTTTAAAAAATACTTTTGTCTTAAAAGCAATTTTTAAATAGGGTAAACAAAGTTTAAATCAGAAATTTTATTTTCATGAAGTAATTTTATACTTTCAAATATATAGCTCTAGGCATCTCTCTCAAAATCAGTCAACAATATATAATGTTTGTGGTACATTTTGTTTCCTACTTATAAGTTTTAATGTCATTATATCATTTATTTATTCATACATTACAAGTATGGTAGATATTAGGTCTAGTAATAATTAATGTCGTTTTCTAATACCTTTTTAAAATCGAATTTATTTAAACAATACAACAAAATTTAATCAACAATATAGTTGCCGTTGTTTTCTACTACTTGTGCCCAACGCTCAGGAAGCATTTTAATCCCTCTGTTGTAAAATTCTTGTGATTTTGATGCAAACAATTCGGTCAATGCATTTTTGAGGCATTCTTCACTATTAAATTTTTTTCCAAGAAGAAAGTTTTGCAAAGAACGAAACAAATGGTAATCGGAAGGGGCAATATCAGGAGAATATGCAGGTTGAGGGAGAACTTCCCATTCCAACTGGTGCAGTTTTTCAGCAGTGATTCTTGCAGTATGTGGTCGTGCGTTATCGTGGTGAAGAATTACGCCCTTCTGATTAATCAGCGCGGGTTCTTTTTCTCTTAAAGCTTGGGCTAACCTTTCCAATTGGGCACTATATACTGCACTTGTAATGGTTTGGTTAGATGGTAAAAGTTCATAATGAAGAATTCCTTTAAAATTCCACCAAACACACAACATCACTTTTTTCGCATGCAAGTCAGGTTTTGGAGTGGGCTGTGGAGCCTCATTTTTGTCCAACCATTGAGGCCGCCTTTTCAAATTAACATACAGCACCCATTCTTCATCTCCGGTAACAATTTGCTCTAAAAACGGCAAACGGTTTTGACGAGAGAGGAGCGAACTGCAAATTGTGACTCTTTGATTATGGTTGTTGTCGGTCAACTCATGAGGAACCCATTTTCCAAACTTTTGGACTTTGCCAAGTGCACGCAATTGATTGGAAATTGTTTTTGGTGAACAATTTAAAGTTGTCGCAAGCTCTTGGGTAATTTGAGGATTTTGCACCAAAAGATCTTGAAGAGCTTCTTGATCAAAATTGGACACACGGCCTTGACCACTCTTGTCATCTAACGAAAAATTTCCCTCGCGAAATTTCTCAAACCAACGCTGGCATTTTCTGGCGCTAACTGCATCTTGTCCAAGAGCACTACAGATGTTTTTTGCAGCCTCACTTGCTTTTCTTCCTAATTGGAACTCGTAAAGCATGCAGTGCCGAATATGCTCTTCATCCGCCATCTTCTTAGCCCTAGTTTTGCAACAAAAACCAAACCAAACACAAACTTTTTCAAGAAAAACTTGTTAATTGCACTTCACACGTTCTGTAGATACCACGTGTTTGAAGGTTATGTCAATACAAGTCAACGCCAAGCAAGATTTTAAACGAATGTTAAAAACCGACATTAATTATTACTAGACCCGATAGTCTCATTTCATGAGGCTGACTTTCTCATTATCATATCTTCTTCTATATTGTCCTATCTTTTCTTTTGCCTTTTTCTGTTCCCAATTTTACAAATTGCAGCTATTTTGTGGCCCCCAACCAAAGGAAAAGGAATCATTTTCCCTTAGTCCAAACATTTAACTTCAAACTATCCTTTTTAGAATAGATGAAGCTTCTAAGTAATATGTAAATAATACATTAATAGTGCAAATGACTTCAATCCTGAATAGTCAGATGCAGGATATCCCAGACTAAGGGTGAACTCTCACATTTCCATTTTTCACACTGTGATTTCAACAGATAGATTTATTTCTTCCTCAGTAATTAAGTATCTCAGGACAAGGCTAGAACTAGTTAAATACAGAATGTTAAGCTAAAGCCTGGTTTCTTGT